GGCCGCGGTAGCAGGAGATGCCGCGATAGGGGGCGGCGGTGATGCAGCAGCGGCCGGGCCGGGGCCCGCAGGCGGAGGCGCAGCTGAAGGCGCGGCCACAGTAAGATCCACAAGCCATGGTGCTTCTTTGGGGAATGGGAGGCTTTGAAGAGGGAGTCGTCCTAGTGGAGGGCACGGTGGACGAGTGTCAGGTGTTTGCGTCTTGGCTCTCTGTGGGCCTTTTATATATACGAGGAGCCAGGCTGCGCTGCGACCAAGGGCTCAGGAGCAATTAGGCTTCTTTATGGGCTTGGGTTGCTTAGCTGCTGTCGCTCATCCCTTAATGTGCTTAATTGGAGCCAGATGTTTATAGTCCTTCTTTCTAAACTATACAATTTTCATCTTCAAAGGGCCAACTCACCATTACCCCCACCCCGATCTCCAAAAATAGTGTTGGAAAACCTGAGAGGTTGGGGAATGGGGTGGGGAATGACTGATTCTGTCTGAGAAGGGGCGGGGCCACAGTTTCTCTGGCTCTGGCCTGTTTGCTGAGGCCATCAGCGCTGTCCATGGTGCTGACTGAACCGAAATCCCATATCAACAGAAGATGATATGGGATTTGGGGTGCATTTGGTGGTTTCTCCGACTTTGATGTGCTCTCTTTCACCCAACAAGATTCATATCTGTATTGTAAAGCATAAACACCTATAAACAGACCCAACACAACCACAACCACTCAGCACATTCAATGTTTTACTCCTTTCTTCTTTTTTTCTCTCTCTCTCTCTCTCTCTCTCTCTCTCTCTCTCTCTCTCTCTCTCTCTTCTCTCTTTTTCTTCTCTCTCCTCTCTTCTTCTTCTTCTCTCTCTCCCTCTCTCCCTCTCTCTCTCTGTCATGCTTACTCACTCCCTTTATCTCTAGCTCTCTCTCAGACAGACACACACTTACCAGGCCTTCATACTCACAATCCTTCACAATCACTGCCGCATGTTCAGGTGCACCCACCCTGATTGAATACAGACCAGTCCATTGGTCAATCCATTGGTCCAAGATGGCCAACTTGAGTTGAGAAGAGGCATTTCAACTCTCAGAGCATTCCTTGAGACCTAGGAGAGCACACTGCAGCACAGGAAAGCTCAACCATAACCAACAAGGCTCCCAGCAAGGATTTTACCTCAGTGCACTATGTTTCCCAAGCATCCATAAGGTGCAGGGCAGGCACCACTATTACAGGTTTGTACATATACTTGGTTTAGACTATGAGAGCTAGATAAAATAATGTTAGAAAGACATTCCTGCTGCTTTCTTACTATATCTACCATAAAACTCCCCTAGCTTCACAGAAGTTTGTCAGAACAGATCCATATTGATGTAGGCTGTTCATACAGGAAAGATCGTGTAAGCATTGGACTGAAAAGGACTGGGGGAGGGGGGCCGGTTCTTCCCCTGACAAGTCCTCTGTGACTGGAGCAAGGCACCTCACTCTCCCTCCTAGGATAAGCCTTTCCCTGTGGAGTTTTTATAAAGATGTGCTCATGATTAGTAAACTCCTGAGTATGTTGCCTACGTGCCTTAGTATTATCATTGGAAGATAGTAGATTGTGAGGCAGCATTTCTCAGATTTCTTATTATGATCCATTAATGAGATCAATCTGAACTTCATTTTCATAACGTAGAATAGAACAAAACCAAATATAGTAGAACAGAATAGAAATATCAGGGGTTTCTCTTTAATTGTAAGTGGTATATATTTAAGTGTGTATCCTATCATGAGACTCTATAGAAACAAGTATAGTAAGGCTTCACCAGCAGCTGATCATCAAGAGAAACTAGTTCCTGGAAAAGGACATCGTGCTTAGGAGAGAGTCAGCAGAAAAGAGGAGGACCTTCAATGAGATGGTTTGGCAGTGGCTGCAAGGATGGACTCACGCAGAGCAGTAACTGTGTGCATACTACAGGATGGGCAGTGTTCTGTTCTGCAAATGGTTGCTATAAACTGGAAATTGCTTGATGGCACCTAACAACAATACTCAGTCACTACATAAAATCATTTCTTATTATGGTTGCAACCAACAAGAGTTTAGTTCGATTACATAGTCATTAAGAGTAAAGACTTCAATTCTAAAATACCTGATTTCCAATTCCAGTTCTGCCACTTTCTAGCCATGCAATCTCAGGCAAGTTCCTTAACCTCTCTGTGCCTAATTTTATGACTTGTAAAATGGGGATAATAATAGCACTCAACTCATAAAGTTGTTGTAAGGATTAAAAGAATCAATCTGTGTAAAACACAGCCTGACACATTGTAAATATATAAGAATATTTGTTATTGCGTTGCTCCTTCTGCTGCTGAAGTGACATAAGCATGTTTAATGGGTAGAGATGGGTGTGTGTAGTTGTTTTGCTGCTGCCAAATCTCTATCAGCAAGTGTGATGGGGATGTGTTAGTGTTCTAGTGCTGCTATAACAGAAACACCACATGTGAATGTCTTTAACAAGCAGAACTTTCTTTTCTCATGGTTCATGAGGCTCTAAGTTCAAATTCAGAGCACCAGCTCTGAAGGTCTTTGTCTCATTTTCTACTCTTGGCTCCTTGAAGATTTCCACATGTCTTCACACCTAGCATACCCCATCCTTCTCTGCTACGCTCACTTACTTCTCTTCAAATCTTTATATCTCAGAGAGTTCTTCTATTTGGGCTGTCGTAGCCCTTAGGGAACTGGACTTGCTAACTCAAAGGCAGCACCTTTCTAGTGGTTCAAGTTCACCTTCAGCTCCATGGTCAAAAGATGAGAAATCTCTTTCTGTGTGAGTTACAGTCTCAGAAACCCTCTAGAGGATCAGCCAAGAGTTGGCTCTGACTGTGGCAATGAGGACTTTTTATATTTAGATTGACTCAGAGGAATGTGTGAAACACAATGCATAAATAGATGAAACAATGTGTATGAATTTTGTATGCAAATCAATAGAAGATTTAAAGACTTTTTTTAAAAGAGATTGACTCAAGACACACTCTACCCTAACCCTATCTCATTAGCATAACAAAGCAACAATTTCCAAATGAAATTATAACCATAAGCACAGATGTTGGGATTTACAAGACATATTTTGAGAAGGGTGGGGAAGGAGAACAAAGTATTTGAGACTAGATAATGCTTAATACAATAGCAATGCTTAGCAAGTGTTACATTGTATTATTCACCATGAGGCCATGCCAGGGGCTATAGTTGTTCCCTTCTGTCCAGGAACTCACTGCCATCGAGTTGATTCTAAGTCAAAGCAACACTTCATCAGGTTTTCTTCAGCTGTAAATCTTTACAGGAGGAGACTGCCCATCGTTCTCCCTTCAATCAGCTGGAGGATTTGAATCACCAATCTTTCTGTTAGCAGCTCATCACTTTATACATGACACCACCAGGGCTCCTTATTATCTAGGGGGGGAAAGTCCGAAAGCAAATATCGCTCCCTCAATCACCACTCTAGTCTAATTATCCCCTAAGAAAAGCCCTATCTAAAGCTCCCCTTTTCAATAGAGAGAGAAAACTGTCGCCAGCCCTTGGACAACCATCCCACTGGGTAATCAAAAGCAATCTGTAACAATTCATAATTTTGTAATTCTTTCTTGCTCTTAACAAACTATCAGAAATCTTCAACCATAAATCGAACAGTGACATGCTTACTCATCTTGCTTTTTGCCTGACCCTGAAGCCTTCTGATGGCAAGTGGCCAGGGTTTGAGGTTTCTCCATGTCCTCAATAATCCATCTACACCTAACGGAGCACTAAAAGGAGCAAAAGAAAGCTGGGCATATAGGCATTGGAACTTGTGTAGTTATAGTTCCTAAAGGTGCTATGGCATATTTTTCTCTTAGGGAAGCTTTCTATAAAAGAGATGGATTGAACCAAAACACCTGCAGATCAGAATGTCTTCTCTTTGGGCCCAAGTGGATCTTTTCTTTCTCCCCTCCCCCAAGGTGTGCTTGGGAAGAAAGGGCAAAATAGGTGTTTCACATTAGAAAGGTCTTGTTCAAGGCCCATTTCAGTCCATCCTGCTGGTTTGTAGGATGTTGTAAGTCAGATTCCCAGAGACAGACGATCACTTAGACTAGATAATACCTTCTGATTGTAGGATGGATTCAGGGATTCTATGAACAATATGCCCTGACCATATGCTGAGCTCTGTCTTGATTTTGAGGTAGGGAGACAGCAAGGAGACATGAATCCTAGATCCACATTCTCAAGGAAGGTCAGAAATCTAATGATTTCACAATGTACCATAAAAAACTCAGTAATGTGCCTACTAGCATTATCCATTCTGGGGTGATGTGAAATGCAGCCAGACTGATGGGAAAGGCAATGAATGATTTCTGGAAAGGAGAAGACAAGATTTAGTAAGGAGGCAGATTTGATTATAAAAAGATGTGCATGGAGGTATTTCACACAGTGGAAGAGGATGAGGCAGGATCAGAGACGAACAGGGGCATGGGAGGGCCTTACAGGAGTGGAGAGATTAGAAAATGTCAAGATGTTGAAGCAGAAGAGAGGAAGCCAGTCAGAACGAAGGCCTAGGGCGTAGAGCTGGTGTCATTGTGGGGACAGAAGCACAGTGGGTAAGGCTATGGCCTGTGTGTCAGGAGGATACCAACAAATCTGCAGGTATCCAAGGAGCCCCACCCTTTCCAATCTTGCATTGCCTGCTCCCTGTTCACTGACATCAGATGTAGGGGATGGAACAGAGGGAAACTGAGGGGGGTGGGAGGGTGGCTGTTTCTATAGCACTGTTGCTACTTATGAGGGAACTGACCACAGATTCAACCACTGGAGACGTTTGAGTTGGTGAGTCAGAAGAGGTCAGTCAGAAACTTGCCTTCTCGCTAAGGGAGTTATGCAGGCTGACCAATTGTCCAACTGAAAGCACCATAGAGAGCCTTCTTTGGCCTCTAGTGGGGAGCCTGGGTGGGCCTGGGGTCTGACTCAAGTGTTCCACCGGTAAAGTCTAGCCCACTAACCCACTGAGCCTACTAATTTCTGAGTGGGCCCTCCTTCCCTGACCCTTGAGCTGAGACTGCCCACTTCGAGTAGGCCTTTATCTTGTCCTCCTCATTGTTGTACCACTCCCATCAGTC